AGCAGCTATATTTGGCTTCACATCCATTTTAAAAAACACACGAATAGCATCGTAAAACAACCCTGCTCTCACATATCCAGATATCAAACTGGTCCATGACACCACATCTCTCACAAGCATCTCATCAAACACTCTACTTGCATCACTGCATTGACCACAGGCACTATATAAATGAAGAACCGAGTTTTGAACATAGAGATCACACCAAAAACCCATCTTTACACCCACCCCATGTATCTGTTTACCCTCTGCAAAGCCCAAAAAATTCCTACAAGACTTCAAAACTGCTGGGAAAGTATACATATCCGGCAAAACCCCGCGTCGAATTAATTGTCTATAAACCAAAACTGTTGCTTCTGGCCTATTACCTCCAGCAAAACCAGCAATGATGGTGTTAAATGGAAGTAAATTTGAGAAGGAACCGTGTTTATTCCAAAAATTACATGCATAATCTACAAATTCAACAGATTTCCCAAATAATTCGGCAACTTTGTTCACTATAAAATCGTCATGAATGACACCAGATATGATTAATTGAGCATGGATTTGCCTGAAGGACCTCAGGTTGGTGCACCTATAAATAGAGTCCAGAATGGTCCATTTTGAAGAAAGCATAGTCTGGTTCTTGTCAAGTTGCATATGCCCATTTCAAGAAGTGTCTTAAAATTTCTTCATAATCAAAATTTCTCTTGTGAATGGGTAAGAAACCAGGCTCTCTGCTCTCATACATGTTGTTGCATGCCATCTACTGTAACCTCCAAGGAAGGGTGGGGCAACTAGCAAATGATCAATGTGTTGAAGAACAGAAGTAGCTTTTACTGCTTTCTTTTGTTTACTTTGCAACAGTGTCTCCCAGTATGCAGACATGGAATGTGCTTGATAAAACGTTACATGCAACATTGACAAACTAAGTGGATCGTAAGCATATAGTTGAACCTGTCGATCGATACTAATATCAGTCTCATCCACGCCAAGTGGGATAGCCGGCGAGTATCGGCCTTCCTCTTCATCTTCACCTTGAGAATTTTATGCTAACCTAACTATGTCTGATTTTAAAGATATTTCAGGTGCGGTCAGGGCCTTCGCCCACTGTGTGCTCTTTCTTGCCTTCCGCCTTTTTTTTCTCAAAAAAGAAGAAAAAAAAAATCAGTCTCATCCAATTTGGCGTTATCGAACCGCGATCAAGTGTAACAGTGGAGGCGATAGTCATTAAATTAATCATTAATTTCATTTTAATTAATTATAATTGCTTAAATAAAAATAAGTTTTATCTAATATTAAAATTTATAATTTATAATTAACTTAATAATTACAAAAACTTTTTTTTTATTTGTTCTTTATAATCTCGTACTCATAAATATTTCTTTTTTTTTTGTTCAACGATCAGGGATGTCCAAACCAACTTACGCACACCTCAATTAATTCTTTTTCTAGTTTAATCAAAGATGAATTATCCCTGCCACTAAAATATTTATAAATGATAAATTTCCCGTCACCCCACCCTAAATGATAGTTAGGAAACACTCTTATTTTAAAAAGTAGTTTAAATAATAAATACCGTCCTCGTAGAAAATTGTGGTAGGGAATTGGAGCAAATAATTGACCCGTTCCTCTGAAATACAGGTTAGACATACCGATTAATTATAGGCCCAACAATGAGGTGCCCCTCCCCAGCCTCTTCTCACTTGGGTGTAATTTGGATGGGTCAATCTGAACCCACCCAGCCCAAAGTTAAAGTGCTTGGGTTAAGACTTGGACAAAAAAATGTCTAAGTTAGAATCCCACGGCAGATTTTCTCCTTCCTCTTGTATTTAAAAAGGTGGGGCGGAACTAGAAATTTATTTAGGGTAANTGGGTCAATCTGAACCCACCCAGCCCAAAGTTAAAGTGCTTGGGTTAAGACTTGGACAAAAAAATGTCTAAGTTAGAATCCCACGGCAGATTTTCTCCTTCCTCTTGTATTTAGAAAGGTGGGGGCGAAACTAGAAATTTATTTAGGGTAAACACATTTAATTAGTAAAATTTAATTTTTCTCCAATTAATAAAAGTATTGTGGTACCATCTTTTTTAAATCGTGTTGTTTATTAAATACAAAATGATCAAACGCCAATATACATAATCTATGCTAACAATATTCAATAAAAATAGGTCAATTATAACCCTTTTTCAAAAAATAAAGCTAATTACAACCATGTATTATAGATCCTGNAAGTATTGTGGTACCATCTTTTTTAAATCGTGTTGTTTATTAAATACAAAATGATCAAACGCCAATATACATAATCTATGCTAACAATATTCAATAAAAATAGGCCAATTATAACCCTTTTTCAAAAAATAAAGCTAATTACAACCGTGTATTATAGACCCTAACAACTTTTCATACTTTGAAAGGATTGTATGATAACGTTATTAATAATATTATCGAAAATGTCTTTCTCTATATAAGTAACTAAGTTAATAGTAATTAATTTCAGGTTAAGTCACATCAATTTTAAAAAATTATAACAATTTCAAACAATTATGAATAGTATAAGATTGAGAGTTATCGAAAAAATAGGCTCAATTACTAGTCGCAACTTTTTAACATATTTTCACATTTCTTTGAGTGAAAAGTGTGCTTAATTATTATTTTTGTACAAGATTTAGTTGGACCAAACTTATTGAAGTGGTTAAATATTTTTGGTTTTTGGTCACGAGGGTGTGCCTAATTTCAACTATCTAATAAAAAATCATAAATATACAAAGATAAAATTTTTATTTTTTTTTCCAGAGGGGCATGTGCCCCCTAATCCCTATGTCCGTCCGCCCTTGATAAAAGGGGTACATTGTGGAATACCAATTGGGACTACGTGAGCCCTCAAAAAAGCCAAGGTATTAATATATAGAAATCGAATATTGAACTCAATTTAATAACCTAAGTTAAACACAAATTTGTGTGGACAACACTCAATTAATGATTGTTTTGGGTTTAGGTTTGGTTTGAGTTTGCCTCGCGTTAAGAGTTTTATAACTTGAATTGAGTTGATCTCTCAAATCATCCAAGTTCCAACTCTCCCTAGATATACCTATACCTCTCAACCCCTCCACCGCACTCACAAGTCACACCTCCTTCCCATAAGGATGTTTTGGGTGTTCAAAATGAGCTTCGAGGGATTGAATCTGGCCGATGGGTTGATTGTAGAGGCAAGAATATCCCTCATCCTTTCCAATTTTGAAATTTTTTGTAAATGTTGATGAAGACGAATATGATAATATTGTAAAACGATAAAGGAAAATAAGATGCTGTATAATTTAAAACCTATAAAAGATGTAGTGTATTTATTATCTTATCAGTGAAATTTACAGTTTTATTAATGTACCAACTTATCTGCACTGCCAGATTTATAATACCAGACGAGTCGATTACAAGAGAGGGTCATATATCATTGTTCTTATTACTTTGCTTCATTTTCTTGGCATCCAAAGGAAGTACTGAACTTCCCCCATGATAAAAAGGTACAGACTTGAAGTACAGATTTCATGTACTCCACCTCCTACCACCTACTCTCCCCCCCATTTCCCCTCCGGTAAGTCTATCACCTACTCTTCGCTTAATTACATCAACCTGATAGAAATGGATCAACGGTCAGGATATGTATCATTTTCTATGGCCCACAACTACAAAGCTCAGTGGTTGGATCCGTTAATTTTGAACGGTTAAGAATGTTCAAACCAATTTACATAAACTTCGATTAATTTTCTTTTCGATCCGATCACAAATAAGTCATTTACACTGAGATTAGAGTATTCATGAGTTTCTCTTTAAGTTTAATAGTTGACTCTTAATGACCAACCTTAACTTTTGTGAGTTTGAAATCAAGTTATACAATCAAATTCCAAATTCAAATTCAATTCGGATTAATATTAGATTTGAATCTCGAATAGCTTAGACTATAATTCTAGTTCACTTTGAGTTGAACTAGAATTCTGTTTATCTTAAATTGAATTTGAATTCAAAATTTTAGGTTGAATTCCCGTGAACTTGATAACCCAACTTAAGTATTACTCAAACTTAAGTCGAGTGGGATTTTTTTTGCACCTATTTTAACCAAAGCACTAAAAACTGTACAAAAATGCTTGCTATTTTGTTTTAAACTTGAGCTCAAACTTGATTCAGTTTAACCTGCCCAAGCTGCATCCTGAGAATTGGTTGTTAATATGTTTTTGTCTGTCCTAACAGACAGAGAGCTTAGGTGGAAATGCTTGGTCTCAAAGTACAACAAAACCAGCTTCTATTTTCCATACTATTTTCCTCCATTGAGTGACTTGGAAGTATAGTACTATTCCTACACGATAGGTTTAATGTAATATTGTTTATTGCTTGAATCAACACTATATAACTGGTCCTTCAATAAAACTTTCATCATCCATCTCTATCTCTATACAACTTTCAATTCATTTCTTGTTTTACAACACCAATGGCTTCTTTTTCATTNCGTAAGCATATAGTTGAACCTGTCGATCGATACTAATATCAGTCTCATCCACGCCAAGTGGGATAGCCGGCGAGTATCTGCCTTCCTCTTCATCTTCACCTTGAGAATTTTATGCTAACCTAACTATGTCTGATTTTAAAGATATTTCAGGTGCGGTCAGGGCCTTCGCCCACTGTGTGCTCTTTCTTGCCTTCCGCCTTTTTTTCTCAAAAAAGAAGAAAAAAAAAATCAGTCTCATCCAATTTGGCGTTATCGAACCGCGATCAAGTGTAACAGTGGAGGCGATAGTCATTAAATTAATCATTAATTTAATTTTAATTAATTATAATTGCTTAAATAAAAATAAGTTTTATCTAATATTAAAATTTATAATTTATAATTAATTTAATAATTACAAAAANGGGATGTGATGCGTCGGTATTACTGGACTCAACTCCAAGAAACAAAGCAGAGAAAGATGGTCCTCCTAATATCTCACTCCGATCATTCTACGTGATTGACGATGCCAAAGCAAAACTAGAAATGGCATGCCCACGTACAGTTTCATGTGCTGATATCATCGCAATTGCCGCAAGAGATGTAGTAACCATGGTAATACCAATACCTTGATGAAACAACATATACATCCTGGTTGAGTTACATCATATTACCATCAATCACATTAAAAAAAAATCCGACATGTTTAGTCTTAATGGATGCGAGTTTAGTCTTAACTGAGTTGATATGAAGGCCAATTGAATACAATTCAAACCTAACTAAACATTATCTATTCACAATGTTAATTATGAGTTGAACACATGTTAACATGACACGATTTACACAACTTAAAAACACGACTAGACCCTTGAAGGTTCCCAATGGTTATTGAAAGGCATATCCCCTTCACCTTCTATTGAACATTATCTCACTCTTGTTATAATTTTTCCAGCCTGGAGGTCTATATTGGAATGTACTCAAAGGAAGGAAAGATGGAAGGGTATCAAAAGCCAATGAAACCATTAACTTACCAGCTCCATCCTTCAATGTAACTCAACTTATTCAAAGCTTCGCCAAGAGAGGTCTAGGAGTTAAAGATTTGGTTGCTCTTTCGGGTGGCCACGCTATAGGGTTTTCCCATTGTTCTTCTTTCGAAGCCCGACTACACAATTTCAGTTCAGCCCATGATATTGATCCGACCATGGACAGTGAATTTGCGCTAAACCTGAGGAAGAAATGCCCGAAACCGAACAAGGATCGCAATGCAGGAGAGTTTTTAGACTCAACTTCATCAAGTTTTGATAATAACTATTACAAAAGAGTCATGGCAGGTAAAGGTGTGTTGGGATCAGACCAAGCATTGTATGGTGATTACAGGACCAGATGGATTGTTGAGGCATTTGCCAAAGATGGAGGTTTGTTTTTCAGAGAGTTTGCAGCTTCAATGGTGAAACTTGGAAATGTAGGTGTTATTGAAGATGGTGAAGTGAGGGTCAAATGCCGAGTTGTAAATTGAGAGAGAGAGAGAGAGAGAGAGAGAGAGTGTTTTGTCTGTTGACATAGGTCAAAATGTCTTTTGAAGTGGAAGGGAATAAGTTGTAAGTCACGTTGATAATAATACAAACCCCAATTGTGTTCATTATATAACTTATTGGGCTGCAACTGTCCATGCATAAAATTTGCAATCAACTTGATGTAATGCTAGAGTGATCCTCTTCACATAGCTTAGGTAAGAATAAAAGCTATTCATTTCTTGACACAAGAATCGCACAAGTCGAATATTTTTGACAAAAAATGAGATGGAGAGACAAAACTATCTCATACAAATGTGTATGTTCTCGAAATTATTTAACCTGAATAAGCCATTATTATGTAGCAAATCTAATAGGGTTTGACTTCTCTCCAATTCTCAACCCAAGTTTAGCAATTGTCAGAATAATATTGCTAGTCGTTATTAAGAGACCACTTCGGTGAGTTGTTATGATTCTATTTTTTTTTCTCAACGGTTATAGGTGTCTGAGTCAGCTGATGTGCACTTTGATTTGTTCCCTTGCTAATTCGATCAAAGAAAGATTATTCATGTTGAAATTAGGGTATTTGTGAGAAATAAATCTTTCATAATCTAGTTCTATAGTTGTTAAAATTTGAATTTGAGATGTCTAAATTTATGACTTGCCCGTGTTACTGTTACTGGTCGAGCTACTATTAGGGTTGATTTGCTATGATTCTATTATTAAGACTACAAGCATCGCCAGCAGTTGGGAACAAAAAATTGAAAAAAGAAACGGAATTTGGAGTTTAGACCGTAATATTATGCGTAGACGGGCTTTTCAAGCCCATATTAATACCACTGGGCCACGTGGGCCAGAAGTGCCAAACCGCTACTTCAACTCTCATGCCCGTCTAGTATATAAGGCCGCAGAGATTGTCCCTATATATCATCAACTATATATAAAAATTAGGATAATTCGTACCTGAAGACACAATAATATGAATAACTTTGAACAAAATATTGGTAGCCGTTAGATGAGTCTATTTGAAACCGTTGGATAAACGTATTGAAATCTATCTTGTTTTATATTATAAATGATATTTGGTAAAGGGTAATTCTATAGTATCGAAAAAAAAATCGATACTATGCTAAAAGTTACACTCTTTAAAAGTGAAGTTATAATTACTTGAAGTACTTTCATAATCGATCATGAATATCCCTTGATCAATTAGAACTTCATTTTTAAAATGTGTAGATTGATCTAATTACTTTTAAAAGTTCTAACTTACATTACTTTTTTAAGTTGTAGTTTCTATTTCGACTTCGATTTTGGTATCGTAATCTTCCTTTCCTGCGACGATAAAATTTATGCAAAATAAGCGTTCAAAAAATTGTTAAAGAACATGATACTGATATCCTAGCGACTCTCACATGGCCATGGCCCATGTGGTTGTTTGCACTATATACCTGGAAGGGAGAGGGGTGGGGGGGCTTGTTTTGCTTGATATTCTTAGAAAAAACCGAACAGCAAAGGTGCAAATGAAATGACATGTCAGGAGACACTGGCAAAACCAGCATTCCATCACTTCCGTCTAGAATCAGCTTTTTACATAAAAAAGGCATTTGGGTAAACAAAACGCTTATTATTGGAAGATTTAGAAAGAATCAAATGTGTGAAACCTCGTATTTTTTACAAATATAATATTTTTTTAGCTTAAACCCGTAACATTCAACTTATAATGAACCAACTTTATTAATACACTAGGGATAATTTGTATTTGAAGAACGATGTAATGTAAATAGTTTTGAAAGAGATGCTTGTGGCCGTTTGATGAATCTATTTAAGACTATCGAATAAGTTTATTAAAATCTGCTCTATTTTATATTATAGATGACCAAAATCTACCGTCAAAATTAGGTTCAATAAAACATTTAAAATATAATGTTGAAGCTACACTCATTAATTTTTCACCTAAATTTTATAATCGACTCTGCAGTCTGCACCACTTGTTTTGATTAAACAAATTAATTTCAAAATTAAATTTTATATGGACATAAAACATTAAATCTGAGAAATACTCAGCGTATTGACATCTAACTACACATGGTAAAATTTGAAGAAAGTCGGAAGATGATCAGGTACACTCATATTTTAAAAATACATAAATAATTATTTAGAAATTATCGATCAATAACCGTCGACAAGAATAAAATCGTCAAAGACAATGACTATAAAAAGACAAATAATGGTGAAGATGAAGGATACATGTAAACCCTCAAAGACCCATAATTTGAGTATTATTAGGAGTAATTTTAAATTAGTTTTAGAAAATAATTAATTATATAATCAATGTTGTCTATTAAGTCTTTTTTGTAATCAAAATACTTTTAATTGAATTAATGAAAAAATTATTATTTTATTTGTGTCATGCACTTTGTCAATTGAGATATATGGTCCATTCCAATAGATTTAGAGCAACAAATTCAAATTTGTTTTTGTTTCAAGATCAAAGTCGGGCTTTTATACTCGTATTTAATGTGTAATATTAGAATTTAAATGTATAAATATAATTGAGCCGAATTAATATATTATTAACGGACTTTAAAATTGAATTAATATTTAATTAAAAAAATATATGAAGGGTTGGTTGATGATAATAAATAATAAAAGACAAAAAAGTATGAGCTGTCGCGCCAAAACAAGAAGACCCACGTGATAAGGTCTCTTCCTCCGGGTTGGTCGAAGTGACTACTGATTGTTGGGACTATTACACAACATGAGTTGTCACCATCTGATTGGTTTATCGATCATTTCATCGTACGAATGATGTTGACGTTTTCAACGTTATACTCACGACTACCCAAAACCCTTTTTTTTTTAATACTAAATAAATGCGAGCAGCTATTATTAAATTTTCCTTTTGTGTTACTTTTGATTTTGTTCCCTTTACAAACACACCCAAAAAATTTCTATATTTGTATCTCCTTTTTTTTTTTTCCCTTTTATTGCTCTATTTTTATCTTTGTTCGCTCTTTTGCAGCTTTACCAAAACTAGATAGCATTAAGGTTTCCTTTTTTCTTTTTTTTTTTCATTTTTAGTTAATTACACTTAAACCCATCTAAGATTTGTTATTTAATTAGATAATTCTTTTTTTGGTTGAAAAATAATACTGCAATCCTCTCATGTTTGTAACTCACTGAGTAATTGCCCAAAACCATTATACTACGTACGTAGAAACACCCACCGACTAAAAGATGATTTGAACATTTTCCAGTGATATGTTATACAAATTGTGCATGTAGACCCTGAGCAAACTCTTTATAATTTGGAAAATGACATTACCAATTAAAATGTTCAAAAATGACTTTGTCATTAAAATGAAATTTTAACCAAAAAAATAAAAAAAATCTAACTTATCGAACTCATTTTTACAAGGACTAACAACCGATATTATTTCTCTCCATCTCTTTGTCTTTTTCCTATCTTTTCTTTTAATATATACGTCGCCTCCTCTACTTTTCTATATCTCCTTCTTCTTCACACACATTGCATAACAAAAGATTATATATATGTGTCATCACTTCAAATCTCAACTGCATTATAACTGTCGCCACCCTTACTATTACCCTTACCACTTTTCCAATATTGATTGTCAAGTCCATAATCGACTTGAGAATTTGTTGATTCTCTTTAATTTCTGTAAATATTAAAAAATTATTAAATAGAGGCATCAAATCCAAACACAAGGGCTTGACCATCCAATAACCCAACTTCGACCACTCAAATATTACCGTCAAAACACATATACACGCCCACATAAGTATAAAATTATTCACCCATATCCTGATATACCATCAAATAAATATAAAATCACTCACTCATATCCTGATATACCATCATTGTTGACCTATCATTACCACACACCCAATCATCATCATCACTATTGCTGGACACAAACCTAACGCCTATACGGCAACACAAACATCCAACATGAACAAATACAAAAGAGATATACATTGTATTAATTATAGAGAGTGGTGATTTGGGTTGTTAATTGGCATGACATGGAAAAGGTCAAAGAGAGGCTAGCTTTTCGTTTGGGTTTTGTTGGACATGATGAGAGACTTGGCAAACGTGATTTCTAAATTAGAGTTCGGAAGAGTACTTGACAAGTATTGATTATGGTAGTGATAGAATTGATTCGACTAGAATGGTTTTGTTATGCAAGAAAATGGTGGGGGCTACTAGTATAAGTAGTACTAGTAGAGTTGGATTGTCCTGATTTTAAGCTTTGATGTATGCAATGTAATATCTACGCATAAAATATAAATAAACCTACACAAACAATATTTTAAAGGGTGATATGTCCTTCTCAGTACTTTTTTTTTTTTTTTCAAACCATCATTGCTTGGAAGTGCTAGTTTCATTTTTCCTATGAGAAGGCGTCCATATGAAGAAAGGCCAAACCTTAGTAGGGGTTTAACTTACCGGGAAAAACCTTTGGGGCTCATGTGTAATTAATCAGTTTTTTTTTATTATTCAGGGTTTAGTTTCTTGTTCTTTGCCTTTTTTGTGGTTCAGACTTGACAGTAAAAGGCAAAGATTCGCAGATAGATAGATGATGAATAAGGAAATATAGGGTTCTGTGGCTTGTAAATAAAGAGATTGATATATCAACAATCATCAGATCCTTTCTGTCTTTTTTCTGCCTATATAATTCTGGGTATTGGGTTAGTGTTTATGGAAAATTTTTGTAGTTTCAGCAGTGTTGCTCATGTAAATCCTTTCTCCAAGATCTTCACTCCTATGTTCTTCAAAAACTTTGATACCTTCATGTCATTTTCAGCTCTGGATCTTTGTGGAGTTTCTGGGCTGTGAATGCAATTTCTTTTTCATTTTCTTTGTTTTTCTGATGGGCGAATGCTATTCTGCACACCTTAGTGTCTCTGGTCAACAAATTTTCCTAGGGCTTCCTTGGTTGTGACTGCTCTTGTCAACATAATTTTAGCCGCCTGTGTTTTT